AAAGAACACGGAAACCCCAGACAAGAAACTTGGTAAGGTTATAAGAAACACGAAAACCCCAGACGAGAAATCTGGTAGGTAATAGGGAACACGGAAACTCCAGACAAGAAACTTGGTAACGTAAAAGAGAACACGGAAACCCCAGACAAGAAACTTGGAAAGGTAATAGAGAACACGGAAACCCCGGACAAGAAACTTGGTAACGTAATAGAGACACGGAAACCCCAGGCGAGATATTGTTAGGCAATAGAGAACACGGAAACCCCAGACAAGAAACTTAGTAACCTAATAGAGAACACGGAAACCTCAGACAAGAAACTTGGTAGGTACTTGAGAACACGGAAACCCCGGACAAGAAACTTGGTAACGTAATAGAGAACANACACGGAAACCCCAGACAAGAAACTTGGTAACGTAATAGAGAACACGGAAACCCCAGACAGGAAACTTGGTCAGGCTATAGAGAACACGGAAACCTCAGACAAGAAGCTTGGTAGGTAATAGAGAACACGGAAACCCAGACGAGAAACTTGGTAGGTAATAGAGAACACGGAAACCCCAGAGGAGAAACTTGGTAAGGTAATAGAGAACACGGAAAACCCAGACAAGAAACTTGATAGGTAATAGAGAACACGGAAACCCCAGACAAGAAACTTGGAAGGTAAAAGAGAACACGGAAACCCCAGAAAAGAAACTTGGAAGGTAATAGAGAACACGGAAACCCTAGACAAGAAACTTGGTAAGGTAATAGAGAACACGGAAAACCCAGACAAGAAACTTGATAGGTAATAGAGAACACGGAAACCCCAGACAAGAAACTTGATCGCATTTGGATACCATCGGCATTTACTTATGCCTTGGGGTTATATGTGTTTGTGTCAGTGAGTGCATTTTACAGGTGCTTGGTAGGTAAGAGGAAACACGGAAACCCAAGACAAGAAGGTACTCGTTCTTCGATCATTAATCCTCAAGGTATACAAACACATAAGTAAAAATCCACTAGAAACCTGTTATCACAGGTGCTCCCGTGATATATCAATGTTTCGTTGACAGTACAGGTTAGTTGTCTGTAATGATATTTTATCAGTACTTGAAGTTGTATTCCTGATACGTGCGTCCTCTTATAACGTTAGTATCCGATAAAGTTTCCAGGTCAAGACACAGCTTTTTAAAAGAAGCTCATAAATTGATCATTATGTTACGTTATTTCAAAATGATTTAATGATAGTTTAAAAACTTTCGATTACGTCACCTATTGTGTTTACAAACTGACTATTTCACCTATTCAACCGCTAGGCGTTGGATAAGTTGAGTGACTGTTGGATAAGTAGTGACCTATTCATACTATCCATCGGCTAGCGGTTGGATATTTAATGAATGGATCACCACTTATCCAACAGGTCACACAGGGTCATGTCAAACGTACCCAGAATGCCCATCTGTTGAATAGGGTTTGTAGACACAAAAACAGATAAACAAAGAAAACGATAACAAATAAATATGAAAGATAGTAAATGTTATTTTAATTCCAACTTTAATACCTGGTGGTACACGGTAGTCAGCCGTTGTAATATATACACGTACACTGCACTTAGCCGAAGTTTCCAGTTTTCACAAACACATCCGCTTTACGTATTTCACAATATATATTCAAACAGGGATTTCCACCAACACATCCTCTTTACGAATTTTGATGCACGAATTGCTGTTGCCACCGATACCTGTGTCCTCACTGTGACCAGACGTTTTCCGTTTCGTGCCTTGTATAACAGAGCAGGCTACTTGCTCTTGTTCCGCACCGGTGCGTTTGCACGCGCGGACCGCATCCGAACGATGTCCGTTTTTTTCACATATCAGTTGTTCCGGAACCTCGGCTTCGTACAACCTGGTTCTCTATCGGATTCTGGTCCTTTACTACAAGTAGTAAATGTCGATTGCGTAATAAAAACATCGTCAGCTGAACTGGACATCTTGGCAGCAGTACACGAAATGACCTTGGAAATATCTCACAGATACCTTTGTACTCGGAACACCTCAGCTCATATCAATACCATTTGGATCGCATTTGGATACCATCGGCATTTACTTATGCCTTGGGGTTATATGTGTTTGTGTCAGTGAGTGCATTTTACAGGTGTGGACAACACAGGTAAACAACTCCCTTTGCTGATTATCCAACTGTCCACCTATACCAGGTTTAGGGGTCCAATTGGGATATGAAAGTTTTTTAAGTAGGATAAATCCCTCGCAAACGTTGGTTAAGTGATTTGGAAGCACCCTGTCTCGGGCCTATCGGCCCTCGACAGGCTGTGCTTCCAAATCACTTAACCAACGTTTGCTCGAGATTTATCCTTTACTTAGCAGTACTTGAAGTTGTATTCCTGAAACGTGTATCAGTATCTTGGTTAAGGCAGAGATTAATCAAAGGCTTATAAATTGATTATTGAGTTTTATTATTTTTTAAAAACATGGCTTAGATAAAGTCGGTGTACGGAACGACAACTCTAGGCTGAGATTGACCTGTCACTCTATCTATCGATTGTGTCTCCCTAGGCTACCTCCGTCACTCTATCGATCGATTGTGTCTCCCTAGGTTTACCTCTGGTATGTCTGTTGTAAAGATATATGACCGGATTTTCTCGATTAAGAGCAATACTGTTATTGGCCACACTCTAACATTTAAATTATATATTGGTGCACCGTGTGTTGTAAAATGCAGTGCAATGCCATCACGTGGGCCAAGCCGTTCCAAAAGGCGTAAAGCCAACAAAACTTAAAATTACACATGTGTGAAGATCATGTCCGGTCAGTATTTCATATCTTTGTGAAACAGGGATGGGATTTGGGCAGAGGCGTTACAACAAACACGTTCTTGGTTTCCATTCTTTTAATTATTCCATTTGTGGACATCAGACTAGCTGGAAGAATCTTACACCCTACAAGAACACAATAATAAACGTATAAGACAACATGCAGTAGACACCACCTTGTTACTAAAACATTACACTGTACCTATTACAAGGTTTCATATCATTATCTGTATAATTACATTTATCATTTACTATTAATCATATTTCATACTTATGATTTATTTCACAATATATTTACTGATCTCATTGACTTTATATAACAATGCTCATGGACAAAATAGACTTTATAACCTATTTAACTGGCTAATATATTACACATTACTTAGACCAATAACATATATCATTTGTAATATACATTGTTTATATTATATATAACTGTAATGAACTTACTCTATCAATGCGACAAGGGTTCCCACATAATCCTGATAATCCAGTATATATAACTGCAGGCGAATCTGAACAAATAACCAATGACTCTTTACACTACTTGCAAGAACAATCAATAGCTGTTACATCGTAGTATGTAATTGATTTAGTCTGATATATTTACATTATCATTAAAATAGAAATAGAAAGAAGTTATTTCAAATTTCCAAATATTCACAGAGCATATAGCCTGAACATTACTCAGTACATCAATAAAGTACACTATACTAGTTACTCAAAATATCTCATCTTAATTTGGAGAGTAAATACAATCTGCTTTACAGTTAGCTATTACATGAAAAGAGTATCTTCAAAATTACATTAATTTTGAACATATTAACTCCTACCTTTTACATATGGTCAATCCCTCCAACCTGTCTGCCAGAACTGATTTACACTCAGGTGAATTGCATGGGCAGGTAGGAAAGGTCACATGACCAACAGGTAAGTATGGGGTTACAGGTCACAAACAGGTCACAGGTTACAGAACAAAACATAAACAAAAGCACATGGCACTGAACAACTGACACATGGACAATGACACTGAACAAGATAAGATACTAAACACACAATACATGTACACCTGAACAAACAAGACATAATTACATATTAAACTCCACTAATATTACTTCATTCATCCGCCTTTCTTAAAACATTATAATTTAATGACTACACTATCCATAATACTTGGACAGGCTATCCCTGCCACATTTGTATACTACACTAGGTGTTTGTCCTGTCACTGAGCCAGACATGATCTTCAAAGATATCAAATAGTTTAAGATTATAGTGTCTGTTATTCGATCACCTGACCCAGAGGCCGGACCATATAATCGTACTAAGATGGCGCGTTGTCCAACGAAAATCGTATCCACCAAAATATTTCAACTTTTATTTTAACCGAACCTGGCTGATTCCATCTTTGAGGGACAGATATTTGCACTTATAGTTTACATGAGGACTATGGTTTTACGAGGTAATACAGTACACACATGTACATCTGTCTACAAATGACTACAAATACACACATTTAATTATGATAATATCGATGATAAAGGTTTATCATTTTGTGGCAACGACACTTGATCAGAGTGGTTTGATCCACCCAGTGGTACATTCTTCATTTAACGACAAATTAAAAAAAAAGTGCATATGTAACTTAATCATGTGAAGTAAATAGTGCTCAAAAGCACCTTAAATAAGCACTAAGACTTGTTCATTCGCACCAATAGATATGTTTCACTCGGGCTAAAACCCTCTTGAAATATACCTATATGCACCTATGCACGTGTGTTATCTATGACGTCAGAGGAACACGTAAACGTATGCATTGTGTATGTGTAACCCTGGTAACATTTCACTATATTCCATATTTGTGTTTATAAGAGATGTAACAAATTCCTTAAAATATTGACAAACATTCGGATTGTCTTTTATCAATAACATAAAACCAATCAAGGCCCGTAATCATGAAGCCGATCTCGTGTTAAAACTCAGATTCTGTTCTCAAGTAAAATTTCACGTTCTCGTGATAAATAAGTTTAATAGTCACACGTTCTCACAATCTAATTAAAATTATATCTTCACATCGCTCCCTTTTACTGATATGTCGCGTTGAACATCCCATAGAGGGTCACGTCAGAGCTCAACATGAATGCATTATCGTATTTATAACAAGCCAATCAAAACGCGACATAACTCTTTCTTTCAACCAATCAGAAAGCAGGACCTGTAGCATTTAATGCAGACACCTCGTAGCCCAAAATCCACTTTTTCGTCTGGTCCAGTGATAGTTTGAATATTGCGAAGCCTGTCATTGGTTAATTTTAGGTTCAGGTTGTTAAACTTTTTAACGACAACATCACCAGAAGAGGAAGTCTCTCTTATTTCAAAGCAAAATCCACAAATTGTACAAACGTTGTCTTGTAGATAGACACGGCGTGGTGTTATGGGCGCCGCCATTTTCGATGCTCATTTGACACCTCTCGGTCTTTTATCATAGCAAGTGTGTTCCGAAACCATTACATCATCACTTACAGAAATGCGTAAGCTCTCATCTGATTGGTTAATGCAAAGGTTGCCTGAACATGACCCTCTACGGGATGTTGTTAGATCTTCAACGCGACATATCAGTAAACGGGAGCGATGTGAAGATATAATTTTAATTAGATTGACGTTCTCAATGACTGGGAAGAATTTTAGAGATACTTTTAGCCGACTGCTGTTTTTAGTGTTTACGCTTGACTTTCTGACCGTTTGCAAGCAAGTTACAAGAAAGTTGACTTGAACACAGGATCTATGCTTTGGTACCAATTGTCTATAAACATATGATCCTATAGGGAACGCTATAATATTAAGAAAGCTTTACATTTTCTTAATATGCTTTAGCATGAAAACGGTTTCGTGAATACGGCTTCAGGATTCTGGAGTCGCCGATTAAGCTAAAAGCTCAATACAAAACAGGCTACACGCATTCTGTCAGACGACAATAGAAGATGGCTACTGGCGAACGTTTTGCCTCCGTTACATGTGTGGTTGAATGTATTTCATTCATAATTAAACATCGGAGAAAGTATCGTAGCGAAAACAACGATCAACATTCGGCCCCCAACTCCAATATCTTTTATTTTGTTTCGCCATATGTAGATACACGAAAATGAACAATAATTATATACATGTATATGATTATTCATAATCAGTATTGATCATTATTTTGTCTTTCCTATTCATTACCTGTGGACTCACCGAGTTGCTGCTATTTAGAAACTGACAAATCTTTATTTTGTAAACACAAAATCAAAATAAACAATAAATGCTGTCTAGGTCTTAGGGTCAGACGACTTGTCTTGTTTATGGTCTTGGCCCCTTAGGGAATAATTATGTCACTTGACCTAAAATAAAATTACCTATAGCTATTGGATTATTGTTATAAATCTGATATGAAATCAGGTCAGCGATTCAGGGGTATTAAATGACTTGCTTATATGAACCTGATGTTGAATACATGAGATAAAACTAGGCCATCGATTGGAGGCCTCCGGGCCTCTTGCTTGTTTGTTGTCCATTAACCTGTGATATAGGATGGCCGATTGTGACCGACAAACTGTTGATTTTTTAATAAAGCAAGTGACTGACAAAATGCTTCGTCTTCTAGAATAACGCTGAGAAGTGAACTTGTCGCTTTGTTTTGCGATTTTGCATGCATAGCCAAAAGTGGTAGATTTGTAACAGTCTAACGGTTTTTAAATACAGGGACATGCGAATTTGTCACAGCTATATTTGGACCTGATTAACGTTCAAAAAAGAAAAACTATACAGACCTTTTACTTGGTACAGTATTCCAGGTCTTCCACTTATATGAATAACCCAATCACCGGGCTAAATGGGACACGACAAGCTGATCTGTACTCAGAAACAAGCCAATATTATGTATATTGGGCTATAAGTGACACTCGATACACTTCTGCACATTCAGGCTGTTGCGTTATCGGGTCGTTTGTTTACATACAACGCATTTCATCTGTATATCGTAACACACCTTGGGCAGTTGTACTAAATTTTAATGTTTATCCTATTATTTTCAAGTCTTACTTAACTAATATATTAAGATGATCTGTCGTACATCACGGAATATGTTTAAAAGGTACGGTGTTGCATAACATCAGAATTGTTAAGAAAATGCATATTATCGTTGGTGTAACATATCTTGTTGTTTTTAATGGATACACGAAGAGCCTTTTGGCGAGTGGCAAGTCGGATTATGTAACACTTTTGCGGCTTCGAGTGAATTTAAACTTGAGAAAGTCACTCTGTATCGATTGACAATTGACGCTATATACTGTTGTTTATATATATATATCATCTGTGTATACAAACGTGTGGTCACTACAGTCACGCTCTGCTAACCCGCGCGTGCGAGGACTATGCATTCTGTTTCGGAATGTAGAATAAATTAAGCCTATAGAAATACTTATATTCGTTGAAATTTCAAAACCAAATAAAAATGCTAAAATGGTGACACAAATGTTCATTTCAAGTGTAAGTTATTGTTAAATTCAAGTCGTGGTCCGTTTTTGGTACTGACATTTGCAAAAACCGGAAACGCTAATTGGTGACGTCACAGTGTTCTATAAATATCTCACGGGAGCCCCGAGTGCTAATTTAGTTGGTAAGAACAGCTACAACCATACATGAATATAATTCTTTCTCTGAATTTACAATGAATGCATAAAATGACGGTTTGGTGATCCATTTTGGGAGCTGTCATTCTGAAACCTTGATCTCTTGGAACCGGCATAAGACATCTCGTCCATACCAGTTAGACGATATATTGTCTAGTGTTACTATTCGACTTCGAGATACATTTAACACGTTTCAAAAACGTTTTACGAGTGTTCCATAATTACTATATTGAACTTTCAGTTAATTTAGGACTTTGATCTAACAAATCTGATTTAATGTCATAATTATCAGTCAAGTCAAGTCAATTTATTTTGCTTTCATTTATGTATATCGTTCAAAAGTATTGAAAATTGTATTTACTACTTTGGATAAATTGTAAAACCGGGTCAAAACAGTATGTGTTTCATCATATTGTAAATGAATATGTGTATACCAAATAGCTAGTGTGACCTTTGACCCCAAAAAAATAACCTTTCACATTTTTTCTGTGTTTTCGAATTTGTATGTGTGTTTAACCACACACTATGGATTATGATAGAGAATAAAAAGTTTCTTTTGCAATTAGTTTGAGGTTCGACTTAATTTGGCGTAGAATGGTTAGACTACACACTAACAATGAGGTACTACAGTGCGTTAGCAAGGTGTGTTATCTATCCCGTGTGTTTTAGCTACATGTTAACGCTTATTACCGTAGACCTACATATTTGACATGCATGTGGACGGTCAACGTGGCTAGGGCCGGTATACCTTATTTCCCAGGGTTCGAACACCCACCGGACACCATGGGCAAACGCAGCCGTAAAAGGAAAAAACATTCTAAGGATGCTAGTCTATCCAGTGAGGAGGGGGAACAGGGGAATGTTCAGGAACAGAACTCCTCCATGAGTCTAATGAGTACGTTACTCAACGCTGCGAACGAGGTGTTATACGGCAGCCCCTCTAAAAGTCAAACCGTTAGTATTCCACCATCACCAACACCCAATCCCCCAGCCAAACCTCCTAATAGTGTCGAGGAACAATTTGCCACCACTAACCGTAGGCTCGATTTTATACTACATAAGATGGAAAAGCTCGACAAGCTTGACTCCATAGAGCAACACCTCATTGCCTTGACATCTAGGGTGGACGGAGTAGAACGAAGAGTTGCTCAGGTCGAGAGCAAGTGTGACGATTGTGAACAATCAGTAAAATTCATGGCACAGCAATATGACTCCCTACAATCAACGGGGATGGACAACGTCCAGTCTAAGCAGATATCAGACGCTATACAAGGCATGCACAATTCGCTACAACATGTAAAAGCTGATGTACTGGAGCTGCAATGCAGATCCATGAAGTATAATCTAGTATTCACGGGATTGGGCGGGGAGACGCGTCAT